GAACCGCAGCTCCAGCTGCGCCATGGTCAAGCGCTCGCCCTCCTCCAGCGCGGAGAGGTTGAAGAAGAGCTGCTTCTGCAGGCAGAGCTCGGGCGCGCGGGGAACAAAGTGCCCTGATGGGGAAGGGAAAAGAGAGGCGGAGGTGCCGGAGCCGCGCGCGGAGCGGGAACAACCCGCAGGGCCCGGCCGGAGGAGCCACGGGAGCCGCTGGCCGCGGTGCAGGGGGGACTGCGAGTGCCCACGGGCCCCACTGCTGCACTGGGCTCTAACCCGCTCCCCAAAACATCGTTCCCAGGACAGGGAGGTGCTATGGGGGGACCGAGGGCAAATAGCAGCAAACTGAAACAAGGGGGAGCCGCCCTTCGGAGCCAGCCCTCGAGTTCCTTCGGACACAACAAAACACAAGCGGGGTGAGCCCGGCCGTGGCTCAAAACGTGGGGGGCACTGAGCAAACAGGACCCCTATTACCGGGGACAGCTTAGAGATGCCGCCGGCTGGAAGGGCTGCTTGGAAGAGGACCCAAAGGACCAGGAGGGGCCCAGCTGAGCAGCCCCCCGTCCCTGTGCCAAGCCAGGGCCCAGGAGGTCCCGGTTCTCCTCACTCCAAGGGCTGGAGGTAACAGAGCAGCAGCAGCTATTGGGGACCCCCCCCAGCTTCGCTCCTCCTGCCACCCCGCGGACGGGAAACGAGGGGCTCCCAGGGCAGGACCAGGGCCATGGCATTGCCGTACCTTGGTCAGCGAAGACGCGGATGATGTTGCCAGGGACATTGAATTCCTCCACCCTACACGCGTCCTCCGGGCCGCCGCTGCTCGAAGGGGCCGTCCTTCTCCTCTGGAAGATCCTCCAGAGCACGGACGGCACCGGCCCGGGGCGTTTGGGGCTGGGCTTGGCGCTCAGACCCAGCGATTTCAGCAGCAGACGCTCCTGCGGACTCAGCTCCGTGGCCAGGAGGGCACCGAGGAGAGCGCAGGCCAGGGCGGCGCGGACGGCGGCGCGGACGGAGCGGGGCCGCATCGCTCCGCTCCCCTCCGCGCACAAAGAGCAGGGCTGCGCTGGGGACCGGACACTCGGAGGACACTCGGAGGATGGAGGCCGGGCCGGGGGTGTTGATTGCCTGATTGGAGCCTTTGATCAGGTTAGTGCTCAATTAGCACAGAGGGATTCCCAGGATTGGGCCGGGGGTGCGAACTGCCCTTCCAGGCGCCCGTTAACCCTTTGAGGCCGCAGAGGGCAGGTCCCCTCCTCCTGCCGAGCTCTCCCTGTCTCCAGCATCTCCACTGAGGTCCAACGCTGGGGAAAAGGCGGCTCCTTCCCTTCCCTTTGCAGAGCCGCCAGCAAGCTGGGCCCACGGGGACGTCGTGGATGTGTCACCGAGATGGTGAGCGGCCTCGCGGCGCTTCCATCCTGCTCTTCGTGCCCGGCCTCGGACACTCCTCCTGGCGCTGTCGCCCTCCAGCTCGTCCCGTCTCCAAACGCTGCTCTCCAGCTCCGTCCCGCGTGTCCCATCCCGCCCGGGGCAGCAAGGCCGGCGGTGGCACCGACGCACACGGGCTGGGCGGGCAGTGCAGGTACCCGCGGACACAGCGAGGGGCTGCCGGCCCCAACCCCACCAAAATGCCTCCCACGGCACCGAAAGAGCGTGGGCGACCAGCCTCGACCCTCCTCAAACCCAGCTGGAGAGTCGAGAAACCGAAGGCCGGAGCTGGCCGAACATCACCGGGCCCCTGGTGACACCCGCTGTGGGGTGAGGAGTGAGGAGGTGACAGATCCTGTCACAGTTTGGGGCCATTTCCATAAGCCAAAGCGACACTTTGATTGTTGTTTACCAAGAAACTTCCCCTACGGTTCCCAGGGTCACATCAGCATGAGAGACCGCAGAGCAGAACAGCCACCCGCGCTCTGATGCTCCGAATCAATCCCCGCTCCTGGCTGCTTCCTCCGCTTCCCGGGGGGCTGCGGGCGCTGACCCCACACGGAGCGACGTGGGGCGAGCGCAGTGTGTGGGGCTGCAGCATCCCGGGGCCCTCACGGGGCGCAGGGCCTGGAAAACCAACCCCCGAGACCCTTCTGTCCTCTACTTTTGAGCGCAGAAATTGCCGAGCGACACTCGGGTGCCCCCTCAGCAGGGACCGGCAGGGCTCGTCCCTAGGATTGGCTTTCCAAGCAACTAGAAGACTCAGAAGCAGCAGAAGCGAATGGATGTCCCAGACCTCATCCTGGAGGGCAAGCGGCTGGAATAACGCTCCGGGAATGGGTTTCCAGGCAGGGCCCGCACGTGGCAGCTCCGTGGCCGTGTCCCCTCCTGGGCCGCGCGGCTCCGGGGAGCTGATCCCGTCCCAGGGTCCTAGCCGCGCAGCGGGAGCAGAGCCGGCTTTGGGCTCCCCTTGCCCACAGAGGAGAGGCCATTTCCCTCTGTTTGACAGTGGGGTCAAAGGACCCCCCAGCACTGCTCGGACAGGGTCCATGGGGAAATCCAACAAAGATGGGGGATACCACAGGGGACGGGGAAGAGCCGAGGGACGGTGGGCAGAGGGAAGGCCAGGGGACCTAAAGCCAGCTCCAAATCCTACCTGGGCCGCGCTAGCAAAGCCGCCGGCCTCCCAGCGGAACCCGCAGCGAGCGGTGGCAGAAGCACATGGGCATCAGGTGAAGCCTGGCCACGGGCAGGCCCCAAGCGAGGCCTGGCCCTGCCAGTGGCATCTTCAGTGGCACGGAGGGGCAGGACACGGTCTCCTCGTGCCCTTCATGTGCGGGGTGGGGGTGTCGGGTCCGGCTCAGGCCCCACATCCAGCCAGGCTGCAGCAGCGACGCTGCCCCTACAACCGCTTGTCCTTCACGAGGCCGTTCCTCAGGTGTGTCCTGCGGGAGAGAGCGCAGCCAAACGTCACCCCAGACCCTGGCAGGTTCAGGAAGACAATCTGAGCCTGGTCCCCAGCCGGCCACATCCCGGCTGCCTGCGGGATCCAGCATCACCCGTCGCATGGACCGTGGGTGCTGCCCGGAGAGAGCAGCACCCAGCTGTGCACGGGAGCCGGGGACGGGATGGATAAGGACTCAGGGGACGTGAAGAAGGACACAGCAGGATGCCGAGACACAAAGCTCTTCCTGAGCCCCGCACCAAGGGTTTGCACCCTGTGTGAAGGATCCTGCCGTTTCCCAGTGCAGGTGCAGGGCCCAGGAGCCCCGCGGCTGCTGCCGGCGCTGCCTCCCCCCGCACTCACCCGTCCTTCAGCGCCCGCGGCAGCTGCAGGGCCCCCGCTCTCTTCTTGGCCCGGCTCGTCTTGCTGTCCACCACGTCGTACTCGCGCACGTCGTTCACCTCTTGCATCTGCCCCATCAGCACCTTGGCCACGAACAGGACGATGTACTGCGGAGCGAGAGGAACAGCGGTCACAAGCCCCAAGTGCCAGAGCTGTTGGAACCCCCCTGCTCACTCCCATTTGCTAGTCAGAGCCTTTCTGTGCTTCAGCCCCCAGAAAGGCAATCTTTGGAATACGGATTGCCCATCTTTGGCACCCATAGGTGCAAAGAGATGTCACCTGCTCCCCTGGGATGGAGCTGACATCCCGACAGAGAAGATACATCCCAGAGGGCAAGGCAGGGCCGCTAGCAGGATTACAGCTATTCCACCTCTATTTACCCGGAGGAAGAGTTCCCTCTTAGCCCTTCTAGGACTCTTTATCCCCAATCTCTTTTTCCTAGAGCAGCAGCTTTTCTTTCCAGCAAAACATCCCCACTTAAGCGGGAGGCAGAGGGTCCTACAAGACGTAGGGGCACAGAGGGAGGCCGCTCGTGGCCGCACGCAGCCTCCTCGCCTTCCTCCTCCTCGCCTTCCTCCAGCCTTCGGGGGATGCCAGGGCATTGACGCCCTTATCAGGTTGCAGCCTCTGCCGACTGCCAAGGATCCCCCGCGGGGACGGCATTCCCGAGCGCCGCTCCCTGCTCGCGGATCCCCGGGTGCCAGACGGCCGGAATTCCGGCACGGAGGCCCTGGCTGCCCCATCCTGCCAGAGCTCCCGTCCCGGCACAGCCTCCCCAGGCGGGAAGGCAGCAGGGATAACGCGGGAGCAGCCGAGCGGGGCTGCGGTTGGTGCCAGGGCTGCCGAGCACCTCCGCACTCACCAGAAACCAGTAGATGTTCATCAGAGTGAGGATGAGGAGCAGAGCGTTGAAGAAGAAGTAGAAGGGGATGTTGGGGACCACCTGCAGGCTGGAGTGGCAGGTGGCGTAGAGCACCTTGAGGGGGAACCAGTAGAGACGGAACCAGAACCTGCCAGGGCAGAGGGAGCGCGGTGGGACCGGGGGCCCGGGGCGGCTTCGCCCGCTCCTCCCGGCCGGCAGCCCCCGCTCCTGGCTCAGTGAACGCCTGGTCCTACACAGGGCTCCATCCAGGGCCATGAAAGGGGTTAATGAAGGGAAAATACTAATGGGCAGACACGGCAGGATGGAGAAGGGACCTTCTCGGGGTAGTGAGGCAGCTTCACAATGCAGGGATCCGCTCAGCTGGAGGAGGGACGGGGCAGGAACGTGGCCCCCGCGTGTCCCATCCATCCCTGCTGTCCTCCCTCAGAGCCAGGGTCTTGTTGCCACCCCTGCGTTTCAGAGCAGGCTGAGGAGAGGAAGGAAAAGGGACAGCCCGCGAGGAACGCAGCCCTGCTCTTCATTGTCTCTCCTGCCTTGCCCCAGGAGGGACAGCCAGGCTGGAATCTGGGACAGAACCCTGTCCTCTTTCCTTCTTGCAGAAATGCCTCTTGCTGCTAAAATCAAACGAGTGGGAAAATGGCAAGAGCTCCTCCTCCCCGGGGGTCATTTGTCATGCTGCAAGCGAGATTTCACAGGCACTTCTGTGGTGACAGACGGCAAAGTGACTACAGAAGGATTCCAAGCCCAGCATGGGGTCAGGCTCGGCAGGAACCTCTTCCCAAACAGTTTATAGAAATGGCTTGTTCCCATGCACACAAAACCAGCAGGCTGTACCCTGGGGCACCAGGGGAATTGCAAAAGCTGGCAGGGACGGTTGGAAGCGGGATGAGGGCCAGGCCGGCGGACAAACTCACCAGCTGACGCTGAAGGTGAGGCAGCCAATGTTGGAGATGACGTCGTTGAGCCGGTGATAAACCCCGCCGCGGTGCTTGAAGTAGACGTTGAGCTTGGTGAATTCCAGCTGCACGTCGTTGACGTCGTGCAGGAAGAGCACGAGGATGCCCACGTTGTGGTACCTGCGGGAAAGAGGCCGGGGAGGGAGATGCGTGAGACAGGGTCGGTGGTGGCAGCCGGGGAGCACGGATCGCGTCGGGGACGGACAGGCTCCGGATAACGCAGCTGTGACGGACAGGCCTGCGTGGCGCAGCGTGCAACGCGCTGCAGGGCGGCTCTCGCGCCGTGCAGCAGCTCCAGAGCTGCCACTGAGCCCGGGTGAGCCCGGAGCAGGGGGAAGCGGCTCCAGCCTGGCAGGAATCCCCCCGGCAAAGGCCAGGACGTGGGCACGGAGGGGCTGCGGCCTCACCTGAACGCGTAGGAGAAGGCGATGAGGGTCAGCGTGACCACGTGGTGGAGCAGCATGACCACCGAGTCCTTGCGCCACGTGTCCATGTAGGCGGTGGCGTAGATGGAGTGTCCGTAGAAGCTGCCCTGCAGCAGGTAGGCGATGGCGATGTCCGTGGGCACCTCCATGCCCTTCTTCCAGCCTGCAGCAGGACAGCAG